TGCCCCAGCTACACGGCTAGGAAAAAAGGAAAAGAACAATAATTTTGCATTTAATTTATCATTTTTTATAAATGTCATAGAATATTTACATGGGGAAATCGAACATTAAGTGAAAAAAGTAGGCATTAAAAAACTTTATATATTACAAAAAGGACATGACAGTAACTAGATACTGTGTGAAGAAATAAGAATCCCAATAAAGGTGAATATATCAACATTATTCATATGTCAGTACTACCCAAAGCAGTCTACAGAGTCAGTGCAATTGTTCTCAAAATCCCAGTGACTTTTTTTCAGAAATGGAAAAGCCTATCCTCAAGTTTCTGTGGGATTTCAAGGAACCCTGAATAGCCAAAACAATCTTGAAAAAGAAGAACAAAGCTGAAGGACTTACACTTCTGAGATCAAAACTTACCACACAACTGGAATAATCAAAGCAGTATGGTATTGGCTTACAGACAGTCAGCATAGATCAATAGAATAGAATTGAGAGCTTAGAAATAAACCCTCAATACATGGTCAAATGACTGTTGATGAGGGTGCCAAGACCACTCAGTGGGGAAAGGACAGTCTCCAACAGTGGTGCAGGAAAACTGTGTATCCACATGCAAAAGAAAGAAGTGGTACCCTTACCTCACACCATATACAAAAGTTAACTCAGCTGGATCTAAGACCTACAACCGTAAGACTCTTAGAGGAAAATGTGGGGCAAGACTTCATGACATTGGATTTGGCCACGGTTTCTTGGATATGACACCAAAGGCACAGCAGCAAAGGGAAAAATATACAAATTGGACTTTATGAAAACTTCAAAAACGTGTGTATCAAAAGGCACTATCAATGGAGTGAAAGGGCAGCTCACAGAATGGGAGAAAATGTTTGCCAATCATTTATCTTATAAGGGGTCGATATCTAGAATATATAGAAAATGCCTAAAACTCAACAACAACAAAATAATTCAAAATTCGGCAAAAGTCTTGAAGAGACATTTCTCCAGAGAAGATATACAAATGACCAACAAGCACATGAAAGGCTGCTCAGCATCACTGATCATTAGGAAAATGCACATTGAAACCACACGAAGCTATACCCCCTCACACTTGTTGGGATGGCTGTCATCCAGAAGATGGGAAAATAAGTGTTGGTGAGAGTGTGGAGGAACTGGAACCCCTGTGCACATTGTGGGAATGTAACATGTGACAGCTGCTTTGGAAAGCAGTATGACAGTTCTTGAAAAAAATTAAAAGTACAGTGACTATATGATGCAACAATTCTGCTTCTGGGGATAGACCCCCAAGAATTGAAAGCAGGATCTCGGAGAGATGTTTGTCTCTCCATGCTCATAGCAGTGTCACTCACAATCACTAAAGACAGAAGCAATGCAAGTGTCCATCAGCACATGAGTGGGTATCCAAGATATGGTGTATACACAGTGTGGAATATTATTCAGACTTAAAATGAAAGGAAATTCTGACACATGCCACAACCTGGGTGATCCTTGAGAATATTCTGCTAAATGAAACAAGCCAGACACTAAAGGACAAATACTGCATGAGGGACCCAGAGTTGTCAAAACTGCATAGACAAACATTAACTCAAAATAGGTTATCTGAGACCTAAAACTAAAACGTTTAGAAGAAAACCATGGACAAAGCTTTATGACATTGGACTTGGCAATAACTTCTTGAATATGACACCAAAAGCATACATACCAGTTATTCGAGTTAGGAGGATTACTTCAGTCCAGGAATTCGAGATTAGCGCGAACAACATAACATGATGCTATCTCTTAAAAAGTGGCTAACAGTGTAAAATTGGAGCAGGTGTGGGAGATCATGTCTGTAATCGCAGCACTTTGGGAGGTGGAGGCAAGAGATTACCTGAGCCCAGGGGTTTGAGACTAGTCTGAACAACATGGCGAGACCTCGTTTCTACAAAAAATTTTTAAAAATTATAGGGCTGGGCGTGGTGACACAAGCCTGAAATCCAAGCACTTTGGGAAGCCAAAGTGAAAAGATTGCCTGAGTTCATGGGTTCAAGACTAGCCTGGGCAACTTGATGAGACTTCATCTCTACAATAAATTAAAAAAAACTAGGTGGACATGGTAGCACATGCCTGTAGTTCCAGCTACTTAGAAGGCTGAGGCAGAAGGATCACCTGAGCCCAGCAGGTCAGCGCTGGGCTGAGCATGCCACTGCACTCCAGCCTGGGTGACAGAATGAGTTTCCAACTCAAAAAAAAAAAAAAAGTAGCCAGGTGTGTTGGCATGTGTCTGTAGTTATAGCTACTTGGAAGACTGAGGCGGAAGGATTGCCTGAGCTCAGCAGGTCGAGGCTATGGTGGCTGTGAGCATTCCACTTTACTCCAGCCTGGGTGACAGAGTGAGACAACTCAGGAAAAAAAAGTAAATTTGTATGATACTTAAAGTTTTCTTCGATGCTTAATAAAACATTCCCAAGTTTTCTGCATAAATTTATTTTATTGTTAGAGTAAAATAACTTTTTAAAACACAAGTATAGAGATGAAAAGCAAAACAAGTTAGTAAGAAGTGGAGCATTTTCTATTTAATGAGACTTTTCTGTCCACTGATTTATTTTCCTGCTTCCTAGAATCCTTGTAGTGATCAAGAAGTCTTTTCTGGGGGGAATTACTGTATCTTGTGTCTTCCTTGTCTCCTGACTTTTCCTAGGGAAGGAGACACTGCTGGGTTTGGTCCATGTGGCTGTGCCCACAATCCTGACTGTTTTTCACCCCCAACTTACAGCTTGTGCTTGCAAGGCCACTGCCATGGTCATAGCAGGGTCTGCAGCTTCAGAGCAAGACTGGATTACCTGATTTATTTGTCCACCTCTGCTAATCTTTTTTTTTTTTTTCCTTTCTGTTGAGGTCTCACTCCATTGCTTAGGCTGGAGTGCAGTGGCACAATAACAGCTCACCATAGCCTCGACCTCCTGGGCTAAGCTGATTCTCCCATCTCAGCCTCCCTTGTATCTGGGACTACAGGCGTACACCACCATGCCCAGCTAATTTGTTTTTATTTTTATTTTTTATAGAAACAAAGTCTTGCTATGTTATCTAGGCTGGTCTGGACTCAAGCAATCCTGGACTCAAGCAATCCTCCTGCCTCGGCCTCCCAAAGTGCTGGGATGACAGGCCTAAGCTGCTGTGCCCTGCCGTACCACTTTGGATATTCTCTTAGTAACTGCATATTGGTACCTGATACTTTCCCAGGAGAGATATTGAATTTATCTGTTAGTTCACATTTTTACATCTCTGAAATTTGGATAACAAATTATAATCTTACAGTTATAACCGTCAGAAAGTTTTTTTTTCTTATTGGCTATACTACATAAAATGGTAGTGTATCTTATAGGTTGTAGCATCATAGAATCAAGAAAACAGGTATTTATTTATGCATAGAGTAAAAGCATATACCAAGAAAGAAAAATGGGGCACACTGCTAGAATGGTGCTCGCTGTAAACACATGGTTGCTGTCTTTCTGTTTTGTGGAGGGTGCAGTGAGGGGAGGGGAGGGTTACTATCTCATGTCTTTATAGAGCCAAGAAATTTGGGTTTGTGGTGATAATTTTAAATTTTAAGTCTTCATTTTAGCCCTGCCTGCATATTCATTGAGGCACCAGGAAGAGTTAGACTTTTCAGGATATTAGTCAGCCATTATTTTGTATTTGAAAGCCATGGCTATAAGCCACATTGTTATCCTTTAATAATAATTGAATAGCAAGTCCAGGTTGCTGCTGACTCCCTGTATTACCATTCATCCTTGCTGTAAAAGGGCAGTCTTGGATGGTTTGCCTTGTGTTACTTACTGGAATGAGAAAAAGAAACTCTGAGAGTGACCACCCAGATGGCTTTTGCATTGTGACTGGATCAGCGCTCTACTGTGGCGTGCAAGCACTCCAAGTTGATACTGACAAGCAAGAAACTGATAATAAGTACCTCTTTCCTCAAACACTCACTCCCAGGCTTGAAGAAAATCTCACATTAGCTTTATTTATTTATTTTTTTTGAGTTGGAGTCTCACTCTGTCGTCCAGACTGGAGTGCAGTGGCCGCTCCTGGCCACCACAGCCTCGACCTGCTGGGCTCCGGCGATCCTTCCGCCTCAGCCTTCCGAGTAGCCGGAATTACAGGTGGGTGCTACCATGACCAGCTAATTTTTTGATTTATTGTAGAGATGAGGTCTCGCCAAGTTGCCCAGGTGGGTCTCGAATCCACGGGCTCAGGCAATCCACTCACCTCAGCCTTCCAAAGGCGCAGGATTACAGTCTGAGCCAACGAGCCTGGCTCGCGTTAGCTTTATAACAGGGACGCTTGCGATTTTTTCAGCTATTCATTGTCATTTAAAAGTTGGTCCTAGGCTCTGTGGCTCAGCCTGTAATCCCAGCACTTTGGGAGGCCGAGGCAAGTGGATTGCCTGAGCCCGCGGGTTGGAGACCAGCCCGGACAACTTGGCGAGACCTCGTCTCTACAATAAAAAACAAAAACAAAGCTGGGCTCGGTGGCTCAGCCTGTAATCCCACGCCTTGGGAGGCTGAGGTGAGTGAATTGCCTGAGCCCACGGGTTTGTGACCCACCTGGGCAACTTGGCGAGACCTCATCTCTACAATAAATCAAAAAAATCAGCCGGGCATGGTAGCGTGCGCCTGTAGTTCCGGCTACTCGGAAGGCTGAGTGAGGCAGAAGGATCGCCAGAGCCCAGCGGGTAGAGGCTGCGGTGGCTGGGAGTGGCCACTGCACTCCAGTCTGGGCGACAGAGTGAGACTCCAACTCAAAAAAAAAAAAAAATTAAAAAAATAAATAAATAAAAGTTGGTCCTGGCTCTGCCCACTAGCACTGGTGTCCTGTATTTGCCAAGAAGGCTCGCAACCATGGAGTCAGTAGAGAGACCCAAGGAAGGGCTGAGAGGATGCTTTGTCTTGCAACAGTGCTCTGCCTTTAGTCGTCTTACACACCCCCTCTCCGTTTCCTGTACCCGCAGTGAAGCTGCCGCCCATGCTGTCGCCACCCTGGCTGAGGCCACCTTACAAGGTGGGGGACAGATCGTCTTGTCTGGGGAAACCGCAGCAGCCGTCGGAGCACTTACTGGAGTCCAAGATGCTAATGGTAAGAGAGCATAAATATTTTATAGACATTCTTCCCTGTTTCCACTTAAACTCTCCCAGCATGAGTGGCAACAAATCCTTTAGAAAGAGGAGTTTTTCTTCATTGATAGACACTTGATGCCCAGGAAAATTCTAGAAGCTTCTGATTCTTTTCACTAGTAGGAGAGTTGCGGTTTCCTGAAGGCAAATGCCGTGATAATGGCTACTTGGTTGAGTTGTTATTTAAAAAGTGATTGTTTTGCTGTGACAAAATTTACTGAGGGGCACATTTTGTCCTTTCCTCTTTCATAGGGTAGGGTATGTCGATGACCTTTGCTGTAGCAGAGACCCTCCCATGCGTGGGTCCATTATGATAGGGTGAAATGTTCTGACTACCTCTTGAAGGTGCCACCATCTCCTCTGTCCCACAGACTTGGGCAACAGGCAATGAAAAGGGCACTTTCCTGGTTGGAACAAATGCCCTCCCCAAGGCCTTCTGGATTTAGCCAGTAGCATGCCCCTACCCTACCCTTCTTCCTCAGCTTTTTGATCCTGGATATTGGTGAATATCCCGAATAGACAAAAGGGATAAAGTTCAAAGAAATATGGTGACAAAGTTTACAACTCCAGCCCAGCTCTTTGGATCTACTTGGGAAGACTCTGGGAGTCCATTGCCAACACGTGGGCTGCCCAGGCAAGTGTTTCAGAAGTCTGGGTCAAAGAGGAGAACCAACCCTGTTATGTGAGACTCTATGCAATTGCTTGTTGAACTTAAAAAAACACATATGTCATTAAGCAGGACAAATTAAGTATTCTATAGTTTTGGGGAAATTATTACTTTAAAGTTCTGAAGTGAGGATATATAAATAGCATACTTTTATTTAGGCAGAAAGTCCCTTAGCAGCCTTAGTGACTGAAAGAGAAGTTTCTGGTCCTTGTTTATGGTAAGTCCCTAGGAACTGGATGCTCTAGCAGTTGGAACAGCCTTTAAAGAGAGGCACAGTGCTGTGTCCTCTGGAAGTGGGAGGAAACAAAGTGCTTCCATCCCCCCAGAGAAGAACAGCACAGGAAATGCAAAGAGTCATTGTGATTTCTGGGAATCATTTTCCAAAAAATCCAATACTGAAACTCAGCCTGCTCTTTCTGTGGGGCAAGGTGCTTTCATGAACTCATCTAAATGTAGACAGTTGATCTTAGCCAGAATGCTGCAAGATAGGGGGCATTTCCAGTCATGCATGCCCAGGGTGAAACTCCATGGTTGGAGTTACAGAAAGCCTCTCCAGCTAGAATCGACTTCGTTTTCTTATGTTTTTCTGTTCCTCATCAGAGTCCTAATCTCCCTGAATAGAGGGTGGACTATCTGGCTGTTGGCTTTCTTCCAAAGTTTGACTGCTGTAACTCACTGTGGAACTGCTCAGGATACTTCCGTGTGGGTTACTTGGAGACTATTTGATCTGTTCTCACTGACTTGCCCTGGCTGGGAGAGAGCGGCCTGATTTATGGTTCTGGCTCCTCCCAGTGTCACCTTTTTAGAGGATGAGTTTGTGAGTAAGTCCAGGGATACTGTGGGTCTCTGGCCAAGTAGGCCTGTTCAGCCATACAGTAAAGTGGAACCACACCCACTAGTGTCAGTTACTAGAAGCTGCCTCTCTTCAGTGGACTTGGGTTATGTGAATCAGTTGGGGTGATGTCATGGAGTTGGCTGCATTTGTGATACAAGAACATTCTGGCTTACATCCTAAAAGCCAGTAGTTCCCCCAGGGCAGGCCACCCCAGTTTGTGACTGCCACCACTTGCTGGACTCAGTCCTTGGGGTTGGCATCATTCCTCTCCAGTGCAGCTTTTCTATGTCACATCAGGTCCTTGAGTTGTGCCTTATCCCAGCAATTTTAGGCAAGAGCTAATCACATGAGCTGCCCTTGGGAATCCAGAAAGTGAATCTAGTATTGGGTATGATCCAGATAATTTTGATATTCATTGGTGTTCTCTGGCTTTTGTAAGAGTCTTTGGTTTCTTAGGATAGGGTTTCATGGACTGGTTCAATGTGAAGATTCTCACCTCTCACTTTCCATTTAGATGTGGTTATACTGGCTAAGCTCTGATCTTTACTACTTCTTCCCTTTTTTAGCCCAATTATCTTAATTCCCTTTCCCCAATACACCTTAATATAAGAAGTTATACGGGCTGGGCCCGGTGGCTTAGCCTGTAATTCCAGCATTTTGGGAGGCCGAGACAAGTAGATTGTCAGAAACCACGGGTTTTGCGGGTTTGAGACCAGCCCAGGCAACTTGGCAAGACCTTGTCTCTACAATAAATTAAAAAAAAAAAAAAAATTAGGGCAACCCTTTAGGGTCCCTTCCCACTCTGGGAGCTTTTCTGTTCTCTCAATAAATCCTGCTTTTTCACTTAAAAAAAAAAAAAAGAAGTAGCCAGACGTGGTAGTACGTGCCTATAGTTCCAGCTATTTGGAAGGCTGAGGCAGAAGGATCATTGGAACCCAGCAGGTTGACACTGGGGTGGCTGTGAGTAAGACTCTAACTCAAAAAAAAAAGTTACACAATTCAGCCTATTTCTTTTTCTTGACTCTTGCCATCTTCTCTCCTGAGCCCCAGAACTCCCTAAGCTCCAGGACTCCTGGCCTCCAGGACCAGCGAGGACAGGTCTCATTCAGGCCTGAGAAGCTCTTGTTGGGTGCCTTTCATCTCTCACCCAGACTCCACACCCACTTCAGAGAACCAGGTCTACAGCAAAAATCAAGATAAGAATTATGTTGGCACTTGGCCGACTCAGAAATTCTCTCATGTCTGAGATCTTACTACAGATTCATTCCTAAAAACTAGATGGGGGAACAAAACAGATTGAAGTTTATAAGTGATAGAGCCTCGTACCAGAGCTGCTTAGGAAAGTATCAACATTTCCTACAACTGCTGCCATTCTAACTATGCCACAAGAAAAAAGAGGGGACATAGCTAGCATTTGCTGGATTTTGATTGGTTTGGTATGGTTTAGGTTTTTTTTTGTTTTTGTTTTTTTTAAGAGTTTTGCTCTGTCACCCAGGCTGAAGTCCAGTGGCACAATCATAACTCACCGCAGCCTCAAACTCTTGAGCTCAGGTGATCGTCCTGCTTCAGCCTCCTGATAAGCTGGGAATACAGCTGTGGACCACCCTACCTGGCTAGTTAAAAAAAATTTTTTTTGTAGTGATGGGGGTCTTGCTATGTTGCCCAGACTAGTCTCCAACTCCTGGACTTAAGTGATCCCTCCTGCCTCAGCCTCCTGAATTGTTGGAATTACAGGCATGAGCCACCATGCCTGGCTTTTTTTTTCCCTTTGCTCCTATTTGTAAAAAATCATTTATAATTCCATACAATAGAATGTTAATGTTTTGAGTTTTAAAAATCTGGTCTTTTTTTCCTATTCATAAAGAAAAGCTTTTAACTTGAATAGGATCATATTGTCTGTAATATTTTGTAACTTATTTTGAAGTATTTTAACAGTTTTTGTGTCATTAAATATTTTTTGGAAAAATGATTTTCAACAAGACCCCTATTGTTGAAAAATTTGGTTACTAATATTTTGCAATAAAAATTAAACTGCTTGTCTTCGTTCAGAATCTTGCCCACCTCTGCTGACCTGCTCTCTTTGGCCCATCCTCGCCTATGCTCCCAGCAGGCTGTGGGGAGCCTGAATGCCTCTCTGTCCTAGCACTGAGGATCCTAGGGTAATTACAATGCTGCTGTAGCAGTTAGTCGCATCTTATTTAATTTGCATGTTTGTATTAGTGATAAATGTTTTTCCCTACCCTTGTGTGTTTTAGTATTTGTTCATGTTCTTTGCCCATTTTTTTGTTGGAGCCTTTACCTTTCTCATATTAACTTGGAAAAGGTCTTCATATACTAAGGATATAACCCTTTTATGTGCATGTTGTAAATAGTTTTTTCCAGTTTATTTTTATTTCACTTCTATTACTTTCTCTGATTACATCTTTTTTGGTTTGTTTTTTTTTTTTTGAAGACACGGTCTCACTCTGTCATCCAGGCTGGAGTGAAGTGGCACAGTCATAACTCACTGCAGTCTCGACCTCCTGGGCTCTAGTGATCCTCCAGCCTCAGCCTCCTGAGTAGTTGGACTTTAGGTGTGCGTCACCATGCCCAGCTAACTTTTACTTTTTTTTTTTTTGAGTTGAGTCTTACTCTGTTGCCCAGACTGGAGTGCAGCAGCATGCTCCCGGCCACCATAGCCTCAACCTACTGGGCTCAGGCGATCCTTCCGCCTCAGCCTTTCAAGTAACTGGAACTACTTGTGCGTGCTACCACGCCCGCTTAATTTTTTTGATTTATTGTAGAGATGAGGTCTCGCCAAGTTGCCCAGGTGGGTCTCGAACCCACAGAGCCCGGCCACTTTTTTTTTTTTTTTTTTTATGGAGATGAGGTCTCTGTGTGTTGCCTGGGCTGGACTCAAACTTCTGGGCTCAAGCAGTCCTTCCCACTTGACTTCCCAAAGTTCTAGGATTATAGGTATTAGCCAATACGCACAGTGCAGAATTCTTAAATAGGTCTTTTTATTTATTTATTTATTTATTTGAGTTGGATTCTCACTCTGTCACCCAGAGTGCAGTCGCCACTCCTGGCCACCACAGCCTCACCCTGTTGGGCTCCGGCAATCCTTCCGCCTCAGCCTTCCAAGTAGCTGGAACTACAGGCGTGCGCTACCACGCCCGGCTAATTTTTTGAGTTATTGTAGAGATGAGGTCTCGCTGCCCAGGTGGGTCTCGAACCCGCGGGCTCAGGCAATCCGCTCACCTCAGCCTCCCAAAGCGTGGGATTGCAGGCTGAGCCACCGAGCCCGGCTTAAATAGGTCTTATGTGGGGGTACTTCTATTTCCATTTATCTATTGGGTCTGTTCTTTGTACTATAGTATTTTGTCACTTTGATGCCATTATTTGTAGTGAGGAAAAGGCCCATCTTTAAATTAGAAAAAAATTCATTCAAAATCCCAAAGAGTGTTTTGGGAAAGTAAAC